GGTTAGCTTTTAGTTAGTCCTGACGTGATGTTAAAGATGTCATTATTCTCCACATGTGAAGTATTTTTACCGAGTGCAGATATGGTACAGAAGGCTTTTATTCTGTTGCTGGTGGATTCAAGACTCTGGACTCCAACAAACTCAAGCAAAGCTTATCTGTGGTTTTCGTATAGTCAGTTGGCATGACAACGAATTGGGGAGAGTTAAATTTTGAAATGTATTGTTAAAAGTGATGTCGTGAAATACGTGATTTCCACGTACACAATAATTATCTGCAAACCTTTTCGGAAACAGATAAATTGCTTCGTCTTCTTTCCTGGCGCCAGGGCTGACAGACTTTATGAAATTGGGAGGTGGCAATTAGCGGTACTGAGTAGCGCCCCCGCGCGTGTCTGGATCAGATGGTGGTGGGTCCTAAGATCACATTTTCGTGTTTATTATCATCCTGTGTTTGTCTATTTCACCAAGGAGGTACTTTATCCAGCATACTGACTGACTGACTGAGTTTAGTTTTACGCCGCTTTTAGCAATATTCCAGCAATATCACGGCGGGGGACACCAGAAATGGGCTTAACACATTGTGCCCATGTGGGGAATCGAACCCGGGCCTTCGGCGTGACGAGCCAACGCTTTAACCACTAGGCTACCCCACCGCCCCTATCCCGCATACGATAAGCTGACAAGTATAACTGAAACGCTGTTCAATGAGACGTTAAATCCAACTTATTGAAATGCTGTTAACACGGTGTTAAACTCATACAGTATTTCACTATGTTGATGATAAAATGATGGATGTTCTCCTAATCACGTCTAGGAGATCGTTTCTGGTTTAGAGACGCTTATTTTGCAAACATTCTCCTGCAGGCTCTACATACTGTACAGTTGGCTACCCCTGCGCGCGTAGCGAGTGAGTGAGTGAGTTTAGTTTTACGCCGCACTCAGAATATTCCATCTATATGGCGGCGGGCTGTAAATAATCGAGTCTGGACCAGACAATTAAGTGATCAATATCATGAGCACCTATCTACGCAATTGGGATAGGATGACATGTGTCAACCAAGACTACCCACCGCTCGTAGAGAATGGTAACTAGGGATATGGATCTGAAAAAGTCCTCATTATGTTTAAACTGTAGGTTCCGCTTCAATCACAGAATTTCTGCACGTTTTAACAGTGTCATGGTCATGTATATTTACCCATCAGTTCCAGATATAGATAAAGATGAGATAACAATAATGACTGAAATAGGGATTGAACGTTGTTTACGCCAAATTCAGCATTAATCTTCTTCATATCATGGCGGTTTGTAAACAGTCTTGGGTGTTAGAAATAACAACAGTGACGTAGGCGTCAAGAGCCACGCGACAAATATTGTGACCATCCGATCCACCCTTATGCAGCACTTATGACAAGTCTAGTGACTTCTCTACCTGAAGGGTCACTCGTGAAAATGCAGGTTAGAATTGATCTTCAGTAACCCAGGCTTGTGGTAAGAGGCGACTTACGGGATCGGGTGGTCAGGCTCGCTGACTTAGTTAACACATGTCATCGTATATCCCATCGAAGATCGATGGTCATGCTGTTTATCACCGGATTGTCTGGTCCAGACTCGATTATTTACAGACCGACGCCATATAGCTGGAATATTGCTGAGTGCGGTGTAAAACAAAACTCACTCATTTTACCCGAAGGAGTCTTGTTCTTCAACTTATACGATGTCCACGTGTAGGTATCGAACCCTGGTCTTCGGTGTGGCGAGCGAGCACTGTGACCCACCGCCCTGATTGGCACCAAAGGCTGATAAATCACCATCTTCAGGTCCTCAACCTATCCACCACTGGTTTGTAAGACCCAGTTGGGTAACCGTAGACTAAACATTGAAGCGTATTGGCCATTCCAGCAATTCGAACTTGTATTTTCATATATTGTCATGTATTGTCCTGTATTGTCCTGTACTGTTGCAGACTGGAGGATTTACATGCCCAATCCTCTAACTATGCTGAGAAGAGTGAGTGGATGAAATTTACTTTTACGCCGCTTTCAGCAATATTCCAGCAATATCACGGCGGGGGACAACAGACAACAGACGGCGGGGGCTTCATACATTGCACCCATGTTGGGAATGGAACCCGGGTCTTCGGCGTGACGAGCGAACGCTTTAACCACAAGGCTACCCCACCGCCCCTATGTTGAGAAAAGGTCAAGCGGGCAAGCGTTAGTGTATTTATACAAGTTTCTGAATAATCTGACAACTCTGAACATGCCATGAACACTGCTTATGCCATCCCATACCCCCATCCCCAAGTCAAACCAACAACAACAACAACAACAACAACAACAACAACAACAACAACAAGAAAATAGAAAAGCATGTACATTTTAACCGACTGTACACTGTCGAGACAATAATTCAACAAAACAAATTCACGTTGAGTAAAACAAACAAAAGGCCAACGAAGCGGAAAGGGATCACTTCACATGCCTTCTTTGTTCTCAGAATCCATCTCATATATGTGTATCCTCAACTTTCTTTATTCATCAAAATAATCTGTAACGGATAAGAAACAACAATTGACTCACATGCTGCCTTTGTTATAACAGGCGTCAAGACTTTGAGACGGCCCCTCTGTTTTGAGGTTATTGTTGCAGTGAAGCAAAGTTATTGGGGAAGTCGACATGAGTAATACCGTTAGGGCTGTGACCTTTACTGCGGGATCGTATAGCAAGGGTTATTATCTTCTTTTTGAATAAACAAGTAACCTGGGTCGGTGTGGAAGCCAATTGTCTCGGAGTATAAAGTAAGGTGATATTCGGTGAATCGAGCAATTTTTCAGCTGCAAATGTCAACTGCTTTTTTCCACGCACTAGGAATTCAACGGAATTATAGTTACATGTGTTTTAATGCCGCACCTAAACAGGTTATAGCACAACAGATATTAACCGGTTTAATTACCTTACCGACGAGTTAAAAATATACGCGTTATGGTGGATCATAGAATTTCGTTTGTCTAGACATATTTACGTCTGTAACCATAGTGACGTGGACAATGTCAAGATATGTGCCTAGACGCTGTATATGTATGATGTATTGCAATACTATCGCCTTGTCTGTCCTCGAAGCATAGTTATGTGCCGATCCATATGTTTGTCCTTTTATCGATATTTAATATTTTTATGAATTATATTCCATACATATTGATATCTATTTTTCCCCATTTCCCCACTAATCAGGGCATCGTTGGTCCAGAATGTTGCTATATTCCTGCTTGTTTCGAAACGTCGCACTCACGAAATAAAATAAGTTGCTTCCCATAGAGTTTGTTTAATATTGTACTTCCCAACTTCTAAAATGCCACTCAAAGAAGTTAACAGAATTTTGTTTTCATCCCATACATCGTGACATCCTGATACTCTTACATGTGTTACAACAATAACCCCATCCCCACTCCCCACACCCCACCCCGAAAAAACACAAAGCTAAAACCGATGCTACTGATTCTGTTGTATCGTGGATATGTTCAGCTAAAATGCAAGTGTTTTCGCAACATTACAATATATATATACTCTGATAGCTACACTGTTAGATTCCGTCCCCCGTATCTCTCACCAAGGAGAGCTATGTTGGTGAGGCAAGTATTGATGGGTTTAACATTACATCTTAGGCGATCACTACCAGATTCCGATGTTCATCGCACGATGTATTGATTTAAAGCGGCAGACATAAAAATGTTAAAATTAGGATAGAATATATATACTTTGTAATTTAAATGGAATTGAAGACGAATGTCACTTTCTTCTCATCTGTCCATCGTATAATGCAATACGTTGTAAATATATTAAAGGTATTACTATGTCCATCCAAGTATTACAAAATTCTCTGCTCTTATAAGCAGTAAAAATTAAAATATATTACAAAATCTTGCCATGTTAATTCACAATGCAATGTTGTATAGAACCAATGTTTTATCAATGTAGTGTAAATATATTTATTTATGTAATTCCCCATCATATGTGTATATGTACTATAGGCCTATGGCCTCTTCGGTACGAAATAAAGATTGATCTTAGAACATATTATCACCGACTGCGACTAAATGAAAGGTTCAAAACAATATCCCAACAGCAGCAGTTCTAGAAACGGCCACGAACATATGTCTGATTACCGGTGCTGTTGACCCCAGATGACGCCGCCTCCTAGGGAGATATACACTAGTATATCACACTTCTTATCTAAAGAGCGGCGGGACGCCAGCTTCTATACAATAATTAATAGCATCACCAACAGGCGTACTTTAAAAGTAGCGTCACAACTCAAGCATATGTCAGCCCAGCATGCTAGCTTGTAATTATAACATCAATAAACAATAGCCATTTGGCATTCATTCTCAAAATAACCGACTCGATGTCACGTGACCTTTGACGACTAGGCGTCAGTCTAAGTAACATTTCCGGGTGTTTTATTGACAAAGTAACCAAACCTAGTCCCCACTCCTTCAAAGCGACCCCTAGAGAGATATCTTCTGAGCAAATATGGCAGTTTTTAAGGAGTGTCTGTTAAACAACACTGCCGAAGTTGATGGAAAGCTAATGTGAAACATATTACTGAATGTCAATGGGGATTAATTTAGAACAAAATTCTAAATTTTCCTTAGGAAGAATGACCACATTTCGCTGTGTACGATTCGCTTGCTATTTGTGATTACACGGTATTTCGAACCATTGATCACTCAGAATTCTGTCAACACTACAATCTCAGATTGTGACGTCACAATGCCCACGCTACCCACTCGTATCGATCGGCGTAAAGGATTTCAACAACCCGTCTTTGCTGTAGTTCCCCACCACGGCATGGGATGTAATTATATTTCCATTAGCAGCATTTTCGTAGTAGAACACCGCCTCGATCTAAGGTGCTTTAGCGCTTTCGTCACACCGACGTCACAGCGTTATGCATATGTATCGATTGCTGTGACGTCACGCGACCTCATGAATAATAAACAGGCACCTGCCATATTGGTCTTGGAGTCGTGTGCCATATTTCTCGTTCAAAACATGCCTGTTTCAAACTGAATAGGATATTACCCGTTTCCCTTTTTCTTTTAAGAATGTGGAACTGAAGCCATGAAAGAAGTCAGCCGTCTGTTGTTCCTGGCGGCTTTGGCCGTTTTGGGACAGAGAACCAGCTTTGGGTTGGGTGCTCCGATACAAAGCCCATTTCCTTTAGGCACCATAGGTAAGTTAAAGAACATATGAACGACAATATGATGTTATCACACGGGTGCTGCTTGTCGTATTTCAGGTGTTTCGTGGATTACTGTTCGGATATACTTGAATGAAGAAAAATTCCACTGACTGTATCAACGTTTGTGATTCCAGCCGTGTGTTATGAGTCCATATCGTAGTGCTAGCTGTCATCGACAATCGGAGTCTATGGCAACGAGATGATGCCATGTAATTTCAAATGTCAGTTGTCGTTATTGTCAGTATGATTGTGTTTTGACATCGTTCTTGAGGCCCGGTAATAATATGTGGGTTTTATTATGTTTAATATGGGTGTTGTTAAATTTATACCCCGTGTGTATTCTGTACTGTCAGTAAATGGTTAGACGTACATCGACGCCATTGTCAAGTATTTCCTATGTTTGTCAATGTGAGGTTGGTTGTCCTAATTTCATACTCACTTGCTACCCACCCTTGACCTTTGTCCCCACCCTGAATGGTTGTGTGTAACAGCGTTTGTTGATATCAGTGATGCTGAAATGCGGAACTCGTGTATGTCATATGTCACAGTACTTTGCTAACTCCAGAACAGAGCCCAGAGCCCATATGTTCAATAAAATTCAGTTAAATATACAGGTTATATAGCAGTGTAATTTGAACATATTTATGATAGGGTTGAATTAGATGAATACTGAAATCTCTGACCTACATAATGTGAGGAATTTGATTATCATGACCATGCCTACAATGGGATGTGTTAATTGTTCTCAAATGGTTGTTAGAATATTCCTGTGTTCTTTTGATTTCTGTTATTCAGAGTCTATGTATGTTGATTAGAAATATCAAAATATGTATGTAAGTAACACTGTCATTCAGAATCACAAACTTGAGTACATCATATATACACATGTATAGTGTTTTACTATTGGTAAATGTTTATTACATATGTTATATTAAGACAACTCTTCATCGCAGATCTTCACGGGGTACCTCCTTGTAAACTCTTGCCCATTCATGAATCCTGCAGCAATTTACCAGAATATTCCTTCTTCTTCATCTAGATGAAAATCATCCTTTCATCTAGACACCTACCGACCCATTAATCTAAAGACGCACCCACCCATTAATCTAAAGGACTACCTTAATCCTTTCATCAAGACCCCTAGTCATCCATTAATCTAAAAGCTCACCCATCCATCCATTCAGACAGACACCTACCCACTTCTTAATCTACAGACCAACCCACCCACTCTTCCATTCATTCAGATTCCTACCCACTCTTAAATCTAGAGACTCACCCATCCATCCATGCATCTCGACAGCTACCCACTCATTCATCCAGAGACTCACCCACCCACCCACTCTTCCATTCATTCAGATTCCTACCCACTCTTTAATCTAGAGACTCACCCATCCATCCATGCATCTCGACAGCTACCCACTCATTCATCCAGAGACTCACCCACCCACCCACTCTTCCATTCATTCAGATTCCTACCCACTCTTAAATCTAGAGACTCACCCATCCATCCATGCATCTCGACAGCTACCCACTCATTCATCTGGAGACTCACCCACACTACCACTCTTCCATTCATTCAGATTCCTACCCACTCTTAAATCTAGAGACTCACCCATCCATCCATGCATCTCGACAGCTACCCACTCATTCATCCAGAGACTCACCCACCCACCCACTCTTCCATTCATTCAGATTCCTACTCACTCTTAAATCTAGAGACTCACCCATCCATCCATCCATCCATCCATGCATCTCGACAGCTACCCACTCATTCATCCAGAGACTCAACCACCAACCCACCCTTCCATTCATCCAGACTCCTACCCACTCTTTAATCTGGAGACTCACCCATCAATCCATCCATCATCCATCCAGACACCCATCCATCCAGACACCAATCCATCCAGATACCTACCCACCATTCCATTCATCTGGAGACTCACCATCCATCCATCCATCCATGCATCTCGACAGCTACCCACACTCATTCATCCAGAGACTCCACCCACCCACCCACCCACCCTTCCATTCATCCAGACTCCTACCCTTTTAATCTAGAGACTCACCCATCAATCCATCCATCATCCATCCAGACACCCATCCAGCCAGACACCAATCCATCCAGATACCTACCCACTCATTCATCTGGAGACTCACCATCCATCCATCCATCCATGCATCTAGACAGCTACCCACCCATTCATCTAGAGACTCACCCATCGATCCATCCAGACACCTACCCACTCATTCATCTAGAGACTCACCCATCCATCCAGACACTTACCCACTCATTCATCTAGAGACTCCCCCATCCATCCATTCATCCGGACACCTACCCACCCATTCATCTAGAGACTCACCCACCCACCCATCCATCCATCAGATACCTACCCAATCACTGACCTGGAGACTCACCCACCCATTTTTCCAGACAGACACCTACTCACTTATTCATCTAGAGCCTCACCCACCCATCCATCCATCCATCCATCCATCTATTCATCCATTCAGATACCTACCCACTCTTTCATCTAGAGACTCACCCATTCATCCAGATACCTACCCACCCATTCATCTAGAGTCTCACCCACTCATCCATCCATCCATCCATTCATCCATTCAGATACCTACCCACTCATTCATCTGGAGACTCACCCACCCATTCATCCATTCAGATACCTACCCACTTATTCATCTACAGCCTCACCCATCCATCCATCCATCCAGATACCTACCCACCCATTCATCTAGACTCACCCATTCATCCAGATACCTATCCACTCGTTCATCTGGAGACTCACCCATCCATTCTTCCAGACAGACACTTACCCACTCATTCATCTAGAGCCTCACCCACCCATCCATCCATCCATCCATCCAGATACCTAACCACTCATTCATCTAGAGCCTCACCCATTCATCTATCCATCCACCCATCCAGACACCTACCCACTCATTCATCTAGAGCCTCACCCACCCATCCATCCATCCATCCATCCAGATACCTAACCACTCATTCATCTAGAGCCTCACCCATCCATCCATCCATCCACCCACCCATCCACCCACCCATCCATCCATTCATCCATCTAGATACCTACCCACTCATTCATCTAGAGCCTCACCCATCCATCCAGATACCTACCCACTCATTCATCTAGAGCCTCCCCATTTCTGGTGTCCCCCGACGTGATATTGCTGGAATATTGCTAAAAGCGGCGTAAAACCAAACTCAGTCAGTCAGTCAGTCTAGAGCCTCACCCATCCATCCAGATACCTACTCACTCATTCATCTAGAGACTCACCCATCCATCCAGACACCTGCCCCCTCTTTAATCTAGAGACTCACCCATCAATCCAGATACCTTCCCATTCATTCATCTAGAGACTCACCCATCCATTCTTCTAGACAGACATCACCCATCTATTCATCCAGACACCTACCCACCAATTATTATAGAAACCAACCCTTTCATTCAGACTCTGACCCATGCAATTATCTAGACACCCCATAGTCCATTTATCAAGACACCCACCTATCCATTCATCCCCAAATCTATTTATTAAAGAACCAATTCCATCCTAGTACTTACCCATGTAGTCATCTAGAGACACCTACCGACCAGTTCATCAGACACCTTCTCCCCCATTTATCTTGTCCCCCACTCCTGTTCATCCACCATCTAATCCACCAATCAGCCATTTCAACAATGCACTCAAGAGCCAGTTCACCATCACCCATTTATCCTGTCACCCATCCAATAACACTCCCACCCACCCTATCATCCTTACACTTAACATTCCATTTTTTTTCACCCTCACCCATCCATTCATCTATAGATGCGTTCATCTGGAGGTTCCACAATCTAATTATGCAGGCACAGATCAACCCTCTTTCACAACTATTATTCCCATGATTTGTTCGTTCGTCTGTTCATCCATTGTGTTTTAACCAGAGTGACACTCACATATTCATTCACTGTATTTAGGCCAAAAAATATATATGTCCGTTTCCTATTACATGCTTTTTAAAAATAGGGTAGGTGGGTCGGTTTTATCTTTTTATTATACTTTTTTTATTATTTTATAGTAGCATGAAGTGGGCACCTGAGGTCTTCAAGAGTACCATATCATGGAGTGACAGTGCCTTATGATGAAACACTGAAAGATTTCTATATCAAATCATTATGTATGTTATTTATTTGCAGATTTGGTCAGTGAGGACCCATTATGCCAATTCAAAGCAATCCATTTTAGCCCTACGTACCCTGAAAAACATGAAATATCATACTCGATTTGGATGAAAATGATGAGTTGAAATGCTCTCCAGTCATGATATTGACTTGGTTAAAAAAAGATTTAGGGTCGGGGGGGTTAGGATAGGGTCGGTCGGGTTACCGGAAACAGACATATATTTTTTTTTTGCCTTAAGTTTAATTAACTCATTCATTCATCCAAAGTCCCAATTTGTCAAGACTCTCACCTTTTCATTCATCTCAACCCTGCCCACACCAATTCCTTCACAAGAAGCAATAAGATAGCATTTCATCTGAAAATGTCTCTACCCTTCAATACATCCCGCTATCCATTTATATTCAAATACTTGCCGTCCTTTCATGCAAACTATCTACCTACTCACCCACACACTCACCTGTGCTATCCTCCACACTTTCCCAACCCTTAAGCCAAAAACATCCACTTATTTTCACAAGAATACCTAACCAATCTTTCATCCAAATGCCAACCCTTTTAACCAAACACTTAAACATTCATCTTGATACAAACAAACCCTTTGATATACCCATCTCTTCTTTCAAACGTCTGTCTGTCATTATATCTCAAGTTCAACCAACCCTTTTGTCCTTCTGAAGAAACATACATAACAATATTCAAACCCCAACCCACTAATCTTTCCATAACATCCACACGCCAATTTATCCAGAGACTTACCCAATCATCTGTTCCTTTGACAAAAACACCAACCCCTTCAT